GATGTCAAGAAGAGGATAACCTTGTTATCCTTAATCTGATAACCTTGTGCCTGTAACAAGCTGCATTTTGCATGAAGGCTAGGCGACTCACACTAGGAGGTGCAAGGTCAGGAGAGCATTTTCTTTTTCTTTTCTTTTCTTATTTTTTTTGTTGATTGTGCTTTTTGTCCTTCCCCACACCACCCCCCAGCATTTTTGCTCTTCTTTATAGAATTAAACCCTTTAAGTAAATTGCAAACAGCTCCCCCTGTATGAAGCAGTGTCTGGCCTCCCACACTGCCTGACATAATCGTTGACATTTCTTCTGTAAATAACAGCAGTGGATTTGGCACTTTGAAGAACAAGAGTTGAAAAAATAATGAATTACGTTTTTCAAGATAAAACCTACCATACTCTCCAGAAATTAGAAGGACCCAGGGAATGAAAGAGGAGCAAATAATTCTTGTGTCATTTATATTTCAAGCTGTATCTTGCACCCTCTGCTCCTCTTCTCCTTAAACTGCTGTACTTCTGCTCAACCAGGCCACGACTCTTCACCTTTGAGCAAACCCTAGACCTTATTTACTGTGACTACAGCATATTATCTGTCTCTGCCTGCTGGAAGATCTAAGGGGACAAGAATTTTTATCTGGGTGAATCCCAACCACCAAAAATAGCCTCTGGCACATTGCAGGAGCTGGAGAAATAGTTTTTGAATGAGTACATTTTGTATGTCAGCACTTGGGGAATAAACACTGGACCAGACCTTGTATCTTCCTGGGAGGAGCTTAATGACTTCGCCTTGGATTGGAATTCTAGAATGGTGACATTGAATATTTATGCCATTGTTTCTTGTCCTTACTATCAGAAACCTTGACTTTTTTTTTTTCTTTATTCCCTTTTTTCCTTGAGATGGCAAATTTTCGGCAGGCCACCCTCCAGCCTCTCTTCAGCACCTCTCTCACTTTTGACCAATGAGGCCGCGTTGACTTTTATTAGGAACATCCAGGAATGCTTTGTTTCTTGCTCATCAACACTCTCATTTCCTGATTGTCTCTTTTTTTTCTTCCTGCATGGGATGTGGATGGAATGCGTAGAGGAATAGCTGCTACCCTGAGCCTGTGAGGGTTAGGACAAAACGCTAAAGATGGCAGAGTGGAAAATAGAAACAGTAAGAACAATATGATCTATTTCTGGAGTTGTTACAGGAAAACAAAATGAACAAACACACAAAAAACAACACTTGGACTTTGGTTAAGCCTTTTTGTATGGATCTAATTATACTGAGAAAAAAGTAAAACTAGAAAATGCGTTCATATCAAATCATGACTTACATTAACATCTTTAATATTTTTCATAATCCCAGTCTTTCAGAAAATTAAACTCACTCAATAAACCCTGCCATCTGATCCTTACTCTCAGGGACCCAGGTTCCTGTTGCAAGGGCTTTACGACCAGAGTGCAGAGGGCCACTGGTCCATCTGCTGTTTCCTAAAGAATGCACTGAACCTCTTGGTTTTTTTGAAGTGGGGACCACACAGTGTATCCATCATATCTGCTCCTCTGAAAGCAGCTCATTTCTAGCAGAGGTTTTTAGGTTTTGGGACACTGGATTTTAAATATTATTGCTGCCCACATCTCAGAAGTTAAGTATAGATCTTTGGATTACAAAGCTGAATTATTTAGCAGTCTCTTGTGCTGACATGGCTGTTGTTGTGCTTCACACATATTGTGTAACGGGTGTGTAGTGAGTGTAAGAGTGTGTGAGGGTGTGAGAGCCTGAAGCAGATCCAGTTCAACCTAGCACTTGGTTTTCTTTGGCTTAGCAGAGGACCGTGTCCACAGCTACTGCCATTTTCCTGTTCACACAACACTGTGTTTTAATTTTTCTTCTAGATTACTAGAGACACAGCGCAAAAATAAAGCACCTCCTTTATTTCTGGGAAATTGTGTATGCTCTTATTGAGGGCTGCAAAAAACAAACAAACAAACAAAAAACTAATTGCAGTTTGTATGATTTCCTGGATTGGACTTTTCTTCCCTTTTTCTTACTATTTAAAGAAGTGATTCCCAGTTGTAAAGATTTAAAAATATTTTTTAATGAAAGGTTGAGGAGAAACAAAACAAAACTGATTCTTCCACACTAAGACTACGAGATTCCTCCTATTACTGACCACTAAGATGTCCAAAAGAGCAGCACTACCTTAGTTCTCCTTTTAGAAGGTCATCACAGTATTTCAAGACAAAAGCAAGGCTTGTTTCTACTCCTAACCCTCGATATCTATTCTTCAGTTTTTCTTCACTAAGAGAACCCAGAACTTCCTTTCTAGGGGGTGCTTTTTGAGACAGGGTCTCACTATGTAGTTCAGACTAGTCTTGAACTCACTGAGTGGCCCAGGCTGGCCTCAAACTTGAGGTGATCCTCCTGCCTCAGCCTTTAAGTGCTGAAATTACAAGCATGCACCACCATGCCTGGCTAGAACCTAGAACTTCTAAGATACAGCTCATTGTATTCTTCATGTCTAAGGGCGGTCATACAACTCTGCTGTAGTCAGCATTAGTGTGTAGAACTTCTGCAAAATGGACTTGCTTTGTCTTTTTTCTTTTCATCGCCCTGCCTGTGGATGTCATGGCTGCACCATAAAAGAAAAAAAATTTTTTTCTGGCATTGTTTTGGGAAGCAGCAGAAGAGAGAGTGAGAATTGGGACTTAAACCCACATGTAAGGCTTGTGCTTGGAATTCCTGACAGAGTTAAGTGTACCTCATGCAAGTACAAGGCCACGGTGGACAGCAGCCTAAATGGCAAACATCTTCTGAGCTGTGTGTTGAAGACATTTCCCCAGCTCTGAGAATAAATGCCTCTGTTCCCTTGTGCTACAGCCCTACCATCTGACCGGTGCCTTTGATAGAGCGCCAAGCGGTCCTGGGTGCAGCCCAGTGCGATGTGAGCTGTGGCTGCTCGAGAATTCTAGCTGCTTTCTGTCTTTACTACTTGCTTATCCCTTTAGATTCACACTATTCATCTTTGGCCTCTAATCCATCCTTATATTTTTCCTGCCAGCCAAGCCGTGCATTCAAATGACATTTTAAATATTTTATTCAGCATTTTAGTTATGCTTGAAGGGATTAGTCTGCCATGTTTCTGGAAATAGAATTCTAAATTCTGTTTTGTCTCATCTTTAAAAAATACGCTTACTTGACCGTTTTATATTCATTAACATTACTTCTTGATTATGCCGTCATTCTTCATGTTAGACAGAGTTATGTTTCTATTTATTTTTTCCTTTCCTAACATCTTCCTTACTCCCTCCCTCCTTTTTGGTGGCACTAGAACTCAGTCCAGAGTCTTGGTACTTAGCTAGATCTCCAGCTCTTAGAGACAGGATCTTGTTAAATTGCTGAGTTGCCCAGGTGGAGTTAGAAGCTGAGACTGCTGCCTTAACTTCCTAGAGTGCTGGGATGATAGCTATGTGCTACCATGCCCTGTTTTTTCTGTTCCTTCCCTTTAAAAATGCTTTGTTTTTTTCCTTTCTTATTTTCCCCTCCCATTTTTCCTTTTCCTGTGTTTTTCTGTCTCTCCCTTTCTTTTTAAGGAAGCTAGAGCCCCACAGTCCAAGATATCAGTGGGTTTTAAGGAGGAAGTAAAAGAATCATTGTCTCCTACTCCTATCAAGAATATACAGATTCAGTAGTGCATGCCTGTAATTTCAGCTTCTCAGGAGACTTCTCAGGGTATGAGGACTACAAATTTGAAGCCACTTAGGCAGTTAGAGAGAGCCTGTTTTACAACAAACGCACGCATATGCACGCGCACACACATACACACACACACACCACCTTGAAGGAGTGAGGTGTGCCTTCAAGTAGCCAGGTGCTCATGTGGGCCAAATACAGGTGTGCTGACTGCCAGGTGTGTGGGAGCACAGTGTGCTATGGGAGCACAGGGCTGGGCAGATGCGAGAAATTTCTGAGGGAGGCGATCTCACATGGGCAAATCCTGAAGTTTAGGAATGAGTGACTGCAAGAATCCTGTTCTTGATATTGGTGTTTGATCTGGGAGGCAAACATATAATTATTTCTTATGTTATGCACATATGACATTGTTTCTAAGCCTAGAAGTATCACAAAACACTTTCTTGTGGCAGTGCAGTCTAACTTTTACATCCAGGAGGGACACACGGATCTTTTGCTTTTGAATGGGTGGAAAACTTGATGAGGGAGCTCTGCATTCCAGAAACTTCTACATGAAGTATGGTTTCTTCTGAATTTTCTTATCCAGCATGGCCACGGCCCCATATAGTTTCTCCTGACTGAATCATGGCTGTTCAGGGAAGGGAGAACGGTGGATGAGGGCCAGGGTTGCTTTGGCAAGAGGTAGAGCTGGCCTGGATATGCCTCAATAAATGAATCCAGGAGGACTAAATTGTCACTGGAGAATTTTAAGGGAATGAAACTTTACTGATTCTTCCACAGGTTTCATTCTGGACCTTAAAAAAGTACTGTTTTCATCTCCTAAAACTAGTAGAAATTCTTCCAGAATAGTACAACTAATAGTCGCCAAAGCTAATAGAGTGTTCTGAAAAGTGTCTTATTCTTTCTTGGTGAGGAACCGGCGTATGTGTGATGAACATTTTCAGAAGAAGCTAGAAGCTATTTTGCCAAAATTAAAAGTGCAGTTAGGAAATCTGCTCCAAACACAATGGTCTCCTGGACTTGAAATATTGCCCTAGGCTGAGCCCTTCGGGTGTTCGCCGAAGAACACCCGAATCAGCAAAAGTGAGAAGGGGCATGAAGACGGCATTTATTATGTCTAGAGATGACTCTGCAGGTCAGTGCTGACTTCTGTTTACATTGTGCTGACCCTTTCCACTCCAGAGCAGTTTGTTCAGCTGTGGTCTACAGCCAAGAAAGAGCACATGTCACCGGGCACCTGTGTGCAGGTTCTAGCGAACTGGTGTAATGAGTAGAGGCAGAGGAGGTCTTGCAATGCCTATCAGACTACAGTACACGAGTCATCTATTTACTTCCTTTGTGCTTTTCTACTAAGAAAGATCTTTTTTTTTAAAATGCCCGAAGCTGTGTCCTTTCCTTGGCGGAGACCAGCCGATGACTTCCTTCCTGCCCCAGCTTTCCAGGAAGTCACTAGATGAGGTTTTGCCCTGATGGTTTTGCCCCGGCATTTCTGGGGCTTCTCTTCCTTGTGCACCTTCACATGCTGCCTCAGATGAGAGCTTTGGCTGAAGCACTTGCCATGCTCACAGCACTCATAGGGCTTCTCCCCAGTGTGGGTTCTCTGATGCTGAATAAGGTGGGAGCTCTGGCTGAAACATCGGCCACACTCATCACACTGGTAGGGCTTTTCTCCAGTATGGATTCTCTGGTGCTGAATGAGATTTGAACTCTGTTTAAATCTCTCTCCGCACTCATCACATTTATAGGGCTTTTCCCCAGTATGGATGCGACGATGCTGAATGAGATTAGAGCTCTGGAAGAAACTTTTTCCACAATCAGCACATTTATGGGATTTCTTTCCAGTATGGATCTTCTGGTGTTGAAAAAGAGTGGAATTCTGACTGAAACTCTTTTCACATTCGGCACATTTGTAGGGTTTCTCATCCAAGCTTCTCAGCCTGCTCAAACCCGAGTCGAAGAGAATGGTCACTCCCCATTTCTGTAGTTGTCGGACTGTTTTACGCTTGCTCTTATTCTCATAGGCTTTTCCTTGGCTTGAGCCTTGAGAAATTCTCTCTTTACGTTTTGTTAGCCTCATGAAGAAAAGCTGAATGTATTCGTCAGACAGTCTATTGTTTTCTAAACTAAAGTCTCATTTCCTAGAGCTAGCAAGGTCAGTATTTTCTCTCTCCCTCCACCGCCCTAGCCGGACCTTGCACCCCGCCAGAAGTGCAGGTCGTTTGCCTGCCACCGCAGTGGCTGCTCTAAGAAAGATCTTCATGTGTTGCTACTACATACTTAGCTGCACAGGTTTGCTTAATGACAGAGCTGCTCACTTGGACCAGAGGTAACTGGATCCGGTGAGTGGGCAGCCTACTCTCCCTGCTGTTGTGTGCTCCAGGGGAGAGGAAGAAAACACGCAAGAAGCTTTATTAATTTGCCTGAGGGTGCTTCCTCATTTCCATTGTTCAAGGTTCCCACAGTTCAGCTTCTCCAATGAGGTAGCTTGCCCTAGGAGGGAAGCCACTCTCAGAAGAGTAATGTCTTATACAGTGCTGTAGACAGAGTAGAAAAGGGCCATAGGAAGAAAAGCTTCCACATACCCCAGTGCATTCACTGTTTCTTCTTTCTACCTTTCTAGTTAACATTTTGGCTTGTCAAGTTCTAGCTGCCCAAGAAGAGGAAAGACTTAATGCTTAAAATTAAATAATTCAAAGTCAATGATATTTGGTGAGGACAAAGAAATGAATGAAATGAACTGCAGACTCACAGCTTCACAACTTAAAGCTTGTCAACTCAGTTATTACGGAGTTGGTTTTACTTGGAAGTCAAGTGGTCATGAAAGATAAAGCTAGTAACAGGGATGCTGAGGAGAAAACTGGCATGTCATAATGAATGGCCTACACTCACCCATTGTGTGGCATCATTTAAAATTGCAAAAAAAAATTTAGTGGAAAAAATAATAAATTAAAGCAATAGGATATTGGTTATTCACCTTTTGGACTTGGAAGCCTGTGATGATTTTGGGTAAGGTATTTCATAAGAAATGAAATTAAAAGTAAAAACGAACCAGAACTGAAAGAAGTCTGACTTACAGCATTGTGTACACCCATTTCTATTTTAGCAATTTTTTGCCTTAAACTAGGTCTATTTAGAAATGAAAGATGAGGGCTTCTATAACTAGATGAAAACCACTTAAAAACCTTTCATCAGTTATTTTCCTAGCACCCACTTGGTTTCTAAACTCATCATTTTGTCTGGCAAACAAAGATGTTCTCAGCCTCTGTGGGGTGCTGTTTCTTCTTTGGCCTTTGGGTCTACCAACTGTGAAACTTCCCATGTGTACCTCCCAGTACTTCTCCACAGCCATGCTCAGACCTAGCGTCTGCCATAAAGGCTTCCCGATTTGGAAGGTTCAACTTAACTCTTCCATACACAAGGAAATGGAGCTCTCCTTAGGCTCCACCCCACACAGGTCTCCACTGTCTCTGCTGGTGTCTGCTTTGGAAGGGCGAGGACATGCCTTTCTTAAACTTTTGAGGGTTGAGCTCTGGTGCCTTGGTTCTTGTGAGAGCTCCACACATGTTGGATCGTAGTGAATTGCTTTCCAGTATGTTTATTGGTACCTACATTACAGTGGGTCAAGATCCTTTCTGAAGTGCTTAGTGGTTTTCCTTTTGAGTGCATTTCTGACCAGGCCAGGGTTGTCAGATGTCTCTGAAAATTGCCCATAGCTTGCTACCCAAGGGAGGTGCATGGCTGTGTCATTGTACTACAGCCATGTTCCATGGTTTAGGGTTTATTTATTTTTTAAAAATCTTTTCTTTATTTATTCGGTACAGGATCTCACTATGTAGCTTGGACTCATTATGATCCTCTCATCTCAGCCTCTCCAGTGCTAGGATCACAGGCATGTGCTAAAGTTGTAGACAGATGAATTAGATAGAAATATTATTTGCAGTCAGGCAGGGCCAGGCCCTCAAAGAGACAATATGAAGGACAAGGTGACTTTACAACTTTGGAAGAGACAGACACTCCCTGCTGAGGGCAGATTTCAAGACAAAAGAGTAAACAAATGTAGCCACATACATCCCTAAGGATGAGCATTAGGGATTGATATTCTAAATAGGTATCAATTACCTTGAAAGAGCCCACATTAGTCACTAACTCAGCCCCCAACAGGAAGAGACCCTGTCCCATCTTCATGCCTGCTTGCTACATGACTCATTTGGTCTGGGATTTAATCAATTTTACCTGAGCAGTGATGCTTGTAATCTCATTGGCTGACCACAGTTTTGTCCCATCTCATGCTTACCTAAGTGAGTTCCCAGGTTTTCCACCACCTTAGACCCACCTCACCACCTGGTTTTCCTCTATAAAAGTCCCTAAAAGAGACAGCTTCCCAGGGATAACCTGCTCAGGGCCTCCCTTCTGTCCTTCTCTCGGATAGAAACTTTCTTTCCCCTAGTAAATATATTCTGCTCATAACCTCTGTTCGTTCCTAAAATTCATTCTTCAGTTTTGAAGAACACGAACTTGTCCCAGGTACCTTTCAGGTCAGGAGTTTCATTTTTCCCTCCTATATCATTTGGAGGTCATACACTGAGATCATTTTTCCCCTATATCACTACTATGCCTAGTTTCAGGGCCAGCACAGATCACCCAGGGTTCTGGGGACTGCATGGCATGCAGTATTAGGGATCGAACCTGGGTCCTTACACTTGCCAGGCAGGCTCTTAGACTGCTGAGCTATCTCCCTAGCCCACCTTCCAGGGTTAGAAATCAAGGAGATTCAATTTATGATGTACAAATGCCCCTGCCTTCCCTTCCTTTTTCCCTTCCCTCTTTCCCTCCTTCTTTTCTTCCTTCTCTCTTCTGTCCTTCTCTGCTCTCCTTTCACAGCTCCCCTTTCTTCTCTCCTTCTTCTTGTTTTTCTCCTGGCTCCTCTTTCCTAACAAAACTCTCTTGTGAAGCCTGGACACTTATAACAGGATCAACAGCAGTGAAAGACTGTCTTTTGCAGCCTAGCAAAGCGAGACAAATGCAACTGCAGAAGCCCAGCCTCCTTCTGCCCCCAGGAAGATGTCATCAAGTCTGAGTGGAATCAAGGCTGGCCCTGCTCTCTGCCTGGGGTGGCACAGGCCCTGCCAGCGGGAACACTGCGTTCCCGCTTCAGGCTTTCTGCTCTCTCCTGCTTAATGGCTCTCAGACCTTTTCTGAGACAGCCGGATAACAATGTACCTTTTTGACAGGCCGACTCTATTCCCCTGTTGAAATCTCAAAACTGTACTGCTTAAAGCATTCTGTCTCCTATTGTTCCATCAGCGAGACCTGAATAGCCCAGCAAGAGCTCCTGGAGCATTCGTTTATTTCCTTGGATTCCCCCCTCCTGAATTATAGAGGGGGAAAAGGCCACAGGCCAGAGTCTGAAAGATGGCTGGTAAAGGCCTCTGTGTGAGGTCTTTGCAAGATAATCTCATTCTAAAGACCTGGGTGACTGGAATTTCCCTTCTTCCCATCCCCCTCAAACAGCCCCTCCCCAACATCCTCTAATACAAATCCTTAAGCATTAAGTCAGGCGGAAAATGAGTCTACTCTACATTTATCTTCCTGAATGGCAGTCAACTCCTGCTTAATCTTTCAACATATATTTGTTCAATGGATCAACAGATTGTGTAAGCAGCATGACGGTTGGGTTTAGAAATGTGTCTGCTCATGTTTGGTTTGTGCTGAACCACTGACCACTTTGTTTGTCAACCCATCATAAATTATATCTCCATGTTACCCAGCACCGGAGGTGGGGACAGGGCCAGTGCTCATGCAGGCAGAAAGACCTTTTTAGTCACTGTCGTTTTCTTGCACTGAGAATGCTGGTTTATCTCATTTTGTGAATACTTTTTTCCCCCAATCTTCTAAACTAGACATCCTCTTTTTCCAAAGGTGTCTCTTACAAAGTCTTCTGCTATTCTTTCCCCTACTGATACAGGGAGAAAATCTGATTTTGGGTGGGTGACCTCCAAACGATACAGGGAACCTCCAAATGACATAGGGAAAAATGACATCCTGACCTGACCTGAACGAGTTCATGTTCTCTAAAACCAAATAATAAATTTTAGGGGCAAACAGAGGTTATGAACAGAATATATTTATTGAGGAAAAGAAAGCTCTTGTCCGAGAGAGGGACAGGTGGGGGGCCCGAGTGAGTTGTCCCTGGAAGCTGTCTCTTCCGGGGACTTTTATAGAGTTAAACCATGCTGTGAAGTGGGTATAAGGTGGTGGAGAACATGGGAACTCGCTTAGGTGGATGTGGGGTGGGACAAAACTATGGTCACCCAGTGGTATTACAAACACCATTTCTCAGGTAAAATTGATTAAGTCCAGGACCAAATGGTAAAGCGACTCACGTAGCAAGTGGGCATGAATGCAGAACAGGACTTTATCAGGTAGCCATCCAGTAGTAGTCGGATTAATGATTCTTCTGGCTCCCTCAGGGTGATGATCAATCTCACATGCCAATCTTCAAGGAGGTCAGCATTTGTTTGATCTTTGGCCTTTAGATCTGACCCACAGCAGGAGCATCCATCCCTCCCAGAGTTGCAAGATATCTTGTCTTCTGTGGTATCTCCTTCAAGAGCCTGGCCCTGTCGGACTGCCTATAATATTTCTATCTAACTCGGCTGCCTGCAACGCTACTAAAATAAAGATAATCTTCAGGCAAACAAGAAAGTAATAAAATAGTATAAAATATGCAAAAGAGAATTTAGAATTAAAAATCATTTGACTTTCCTATGTGGACATATTGGTTAAAATCCATGTTTCTCACAATATGAGAGTTTATTCAGGTGCTGAAACATTGAGGAGATGGCCTCTTGGCTCATGGCACAGCCAATTTGCTCTTTTAAGAAAATAAAATTGTCAGTTGCTTCACTGAATTTCCAACCAATCAACCACTACTTATGAGCATCTATTGCATTAAAGACCAAGGAGACAATACAGAGAGAGGAAGATACATTTTGTGACCTCAGTAACCTGACTCCAATCAGAGAAGTGAAATCACTCAAATATTGAAAGAAATTATGAGGATCCCAAGATAAAAATGAAGGAAAGAAAAAAAATGCATGTTATACTAATGCATAAGAAGGACTAGACCGCAGGGAAGTTTTACTTAGTTGAAAACTGTTCAGCAGTGTTTGCTGAATGCCT